AAAATTATTTTCCATTTATACGTATATGTACAACATGACGATATCGTTGTAGTAAACAAACCGTATTTTTAAAACTTTTGACTATATATTTTTTTATAGAAAAATATTTATATTTCTCTCAATGTATTTAAAAAAGTGAATATAATATAAAATACATACACGCGTATAATGTGTATGTGTTTTGATCTCAAACATACATAAAGATAAGATTTTAAAAAATAAGTGCGTTGTTTTGTCGTCTGTAATTTTTTGCTGAAACCCATTTGCCACTTCGACGCTCCATTCATCATTGCGTTTTACCGTCTCGTTTGAACGTCACTCATCGAATATTTTCACAACATCCGTTTCTACTTTTACCTCTCTCTTCTATCTCGGAGACAAGAGATTTATATTTTTGTTCTATATACGACGCTTTAGTTTGGCTTTTAAGCACTTCTCTTGTGACCTATTTCGGCCAATCATTTCTTTTATTTAATTATGTGGCTTAATTAACGCAATTACTAACCGTGTATATCGAGAAATATTAATCGCACATGGTTGACGTTTATAAATTTAATCTAAAATTTAAAAACTAAATTTGTATGAAAAACTTGTCAGCGACAATGTAGTAATAAAAAAAAAATAAATAAATAAAATAAAAAAAACAAACAATCACGCGTCTATTGAGTTCTATGAAAAATCCATTTGCTTGATGCAAATTGACATGTAATTAATTAAACGTAATAAAAAGTTGATGACATAGCACAACTCATTTTACTGCTGTACAAATTTAGCTAAATTCAATTTTATTTCTTCGACGCGCTTCTACCATATGTGTATGTGAAAATACGTTTTCTTTTCTGTGTATGTTGTTTAAGTATTTTATTTTAAAAGCCTAGAATACTGTTGCAAATGTTTATTCTCATGTACTTTTATCGATCGCCGATTACTTTCCATTCGTGATTTTCACATTCTAACATCATCTCAATAGCAATAAAAAACAAACCAAACAAAAAAATAAAATAAACCGATCGCGTCGGATACACGAGAATAAATCTGGCGAAAAGAGTGAAATCCTATTTGACGAGAGATGAAAAAAGAGAGTAAAGTGCGAAATAGGGTAGGTCGATTACGAGAAGGAGAAAGAAAGCGAGCAAGATAAGACGAGCCGATTCCGCTTCACCGATCTACGGTAATCAGCTGCTCTCTCCTTTTTTCGCTTTTTATATGTCTCGCGATGTTTACGAGCGCATGTAAAATAAAATTGCTCGTGAAATCTATATCATATGTGATTGATACGATTGATCTTTTGATATTTGTAGTCGTACTTATTTAGTCGCAACTTTATTATGTTTGAATTTATTTTTATACTTGATCTTCTATTCTTTTTTTTTTTCCATTGTAATTTTAAGTTCGCTCGTTCTCGATTTTGCAAAGTTTTAGATTAAATGCAACGGTCATTCGTAGCCACGCCGAAGAGAAAGAAAACGACAAAAAGTACAACACAGTTCTTGTTGAAGTTTCCGCTCCATCTAACAAGCGTAGGAAGAAAAGCAGAAATCGGATTGTATATGTAGCGAGGTAAGCGAACTAATAAAGTACTACGAACAATGCGCATAATACATTACAGAAAATACACGACAGAAAATTAAATGCACGTATATATAAAACATTCCCGCATTTAGCAACAATTGGATTGCGAAAGCGAGCCGAGATTCGAATTAAATTTGCAAGAAGTAGGTTAGATTAAAGTCTATCAACTACACATCTAAAATCACATCTTGACTGTAAAAAAACTGTATCTCGCTTTGTAAATAAAACACTATAATTTGTAAGTAACAACATTTATCTTACTCGTTATTTAATTTTTCTACATTTGTAACAACGTTTGATTTATAACGTATTGACAAAAACCGCATGGTCCGGCCGAAACGTTTGCAATTTATTAAAAGACAATAAGGTCTGGGGTAAGAGCAAAATAAATTGAAGGCATCTCCAGTTGCCGCCGCCTCGCTTCCACGTTGAGTTCTCCAGCTGACTGTAATTAGTGAGCGTCTAAACAATACTCGAGCCATCCCCGGAGGCGACTCCTCCTCGCTTACCCTTTTCTCCACACTTCTCTTAGTGCGAACCGGAATCACCGATAATTAATTATCCAGTCGCAGAACGCGCGACTGTGGAATTATTCGCGGCTGTGTCTCTTTCTTTTTTATGCTTCCCGCGTCTTGTTCCGCGTTTCTTCGATTCTAATTTTTACTGTTTACAGGCGAGATTTTTTCTAACGCCTGTATCTTAATAAAATAATGACACATTACTAACAACTCAAGGAGACATAGTAAAAAGAAAAAATATACATATAACAGCGAACACAACAACGACTATAAATATTACTGCACAGTTCACGATTTGCTATTCCTACATCAACTGCGTTTGAGAGAGTGTACATACATATAATATTTCTTCTCTCTCTCTTCCCATTTTCATAAATATATTTTTTGCAAAACATTTGAATGCACTTTATAATATGTATATTTTATAAAATATTTATGAAACTCTTCCTCTTTTATAATTTTGCATTTAGCACAAAACAAAACATGTTTTAAATAAAAACCAACAAAAAAGAACCAGTATCCGCTTTACCGACGCTTTGAAATGCACGCTTCGAAATTTCGTCGGTATGAATGTAATTATACGTTGAGCGATTAAACGTACGAGGTTGTTGCGCTACACGACGAACAGAAGCAACCGCGCTCGTTAGCATACTTCGAAAGTCTTTAATTGCGGCCGGAAGCTCGACGGGAGCCTGCGGCTTGCAAACAATATTCGCCGGGTAAATAAATAGCGCGACAACATGCAACTCTGCACGATAAATATTGTTACTGAGTTCTCCAATTTAATCCTTCGTAAAAAGAATATTAGTTTTCTCTCTTGAATTTTCTTTATATTTATTTTACATGTTTGCAAGTGACGCGTGTACTTGAATTTTTTTTTTTGAAAAAGTTTGTCAAGATGTTTTATGTGAACTTGTTTACAAACCTTCGCTAAAACTGTTCGAACATAATCCGTCGCATTTTCGATCCATTGTTTCAATGTGAATAAACACAACTTTTTTTAAAAAAAGCTTCATCCTGGATATGCTACGTTACTTTGATGGCCACGACAGTGATTAGAAAAGTTACTTTACGCAATTAAAAGTTGTAAAAATGTTTTATCCGGCAATTTCCGGGTTCGAAAGAGCGGACAGATAGGGCACTCGATGGAAAGCCGCAGAGTTCCAGTCGATTCCTTTTATTACGATCTACGAAGTTACTGTTGGCAGACCAAGGGTCACCCGCGTCGGGTTGGGCTCCTTTCGTCGATCTCTCGAAGCGTTCGATAACTTCTTCAAAAGCTCCGAGGATGCAGTCTCGCAGATTCTGGTCGCATACCACGGAACCGATCTCTTCTTTTCGGTGCCTGTCTTCTTTCGTCCGGTCCTTAACGTTTCAAAGCTTAACGAAATGGAAACAATATTGACTCACGGGGATCTAACTGTAGAGCTTTGTATCGGGACGATATTGCAGTTTTCCGATGCGAGCGATTCCTTCAGCTGTATCCTTTTATAGATTCCGCGGAATACTTATTTAGTGGCACGATTGTATACAGCGACGAAGAAAAAGTTGTTTTTATGAAGTTTACTTTGACTAAAAGCAGAGAGTGCGATTTTAATAGATTCGATGTTAAAGAGAGTTATTAGTTTGTACAGTTATTCACCAATTAAAAAGCAACACATTCTCGAAAGACTTTTAACTATTGTACAAATGACATCAAGAGAAATAATACAACAATAAACTTATCGAGATACGTAAGTGTCTCGTAAAATAATTTGCAAAATGTACAGAAATTGTTAAACTTAGTAAAATAGAAGGGCGAGATTGTTTCTCTCATGCATAAAAGCGAGGATATTATGTATCGAACGAGAGTATGAAGCGGGGAGCTCGGCAAACCACGGTTGTGGAAATTCGCTGCGGAACAGTTAACGATAAGCGCCACGTTATTACGACATCGGGAACGCGCGTGGTCGGCGCGTTCTGCGCGTTCACGTTAATCTGGAATTATTTAATCGCCGCGCCGCTCTCTGACGTCAGTAAATATTAATTATTGTATTATTGTTACGGAAGCAAAACGAAAATGATAAGAGAGAGAGCGAACGCGTGCTGTTTGTAAGAGGCGTTTATATCAAACGTGAAGATTGTAGCGCGCTGAAAATGCATCGGAATTACGCAATTTCTGCCCGCATTTTATGTCCAACGATTATTGCAGCTAATGATTTGCAAATATCGCTGTTGTTGAGACATTTGATATCACTAAAGAATATCGTGATGCGTATATTTAATTCAAATGTAGATAATGGACCGCGCAATAAGCTGGCTTCTCAATAAGCAAAACGTACAATGATTAATTATTTACAAGGTATTCAAATTTATATTAACTTTAATCAAACATTTATTGTTAACTAAAGCGAAATAAAACCAGCAAAAAATTTTATGTAAACAACTAAACATCTTTTTATGTAAATTTTTGTAGAGATTATTTTTAATTTAAACAAAAAACTGTCTAATATTCATATATATTATATACAACGACAACTTTCAAATATTGTTGTAAAGATTACTACATGGATGAGAAAAAATTCAGCTCCTTCGCGTGGTTGGTTGCACTATCACAAGTTCTTCTCGCAAAAGTGCGAAGGTATATTGTCATTCTCTTACTTTTCCGAATTGCACGTTCGCACGACAGAGCAAATAATTCTTGCTTCTTCCAGCTTGTCCTTATTTTTCTGTTCGCGTTCTCATTTTCGCGAATTGCTTCTTTTTGCTCGCAAGATCATGAAAAGAAACGACATCAGGACACAACTAAACTATACGCTTGACCGCTTCCTTTATATACATACGCGGTCCTCGTTGGGATATAATAGCGAGTGTCATATATATATGTTGTACGTTGAAGTTTTCATGACTCTGTAATCATATTTTACTCACCTCTATCCGAAACGTCCATCCTTCCAGACTGAGCAACTTGAGAGTTGTGTTCCTGGCCAGAGCGTGGCACAATAACCTCGAGGGATGATCGTCCAGAGCCAGTCGAGGACTGGACAGATCTAGAAGCTGGAGACACGGCGCTTCCGTGAGAGCCAACACGAGAGGCATCACATCGGCTGGTCTCGATGCACCAGCGGCTCTCAGAGCGTCTAAATTGCGTGCTCGTCTAATGGTCTCGCCCAAACACCCTGCATCCAGGCCACCCAAAAGACATTTTGACACATTCAGAGACCTGAGTTTGCAGTTTGGCTCTCTGAAACGCGAAGCAGAACGCCGCCGATCAGCCAGATTTTTCAGCAGAAAAGTCTCTGTTTGTATTAATCCGTAAACAAATTTGTACAGAAATTAAAATAAAATGTAAGTGCGCTGTTTGTTCGAAATCATTTTGCTATAATTGAATCGTTACGAAGTGTTATTACCATATCAACTCTCATAACAAAATGTACATTTTGATTTCAACTACGACAAGAAAAATGAAAACTCGCCGAATCGAATAAAGAAGAAAGATTTAATCGAATCAGCTGATGGAAGCAGTAATCATTTAAGATTGATGATACTCCGTCCCGATTGCGGACAAGATTTTGCCGTTAAGTAAAAGAGAAACGTAAAAGTGCCTGACGGCAATCTCTATCTCGTCTTCGTTCATCAATCTTATAACAGAGAAAATGGCTATTCACGACGATGATAGGAAACTTCCGGATACATCAAATCGCGAAAAAATTTATACTTATGTCTTTTTTCTGTTATTGAAACTTTTGGGATACAAGTCGAACGAGATTTTATCATATTCGTGTATCAATTTAAAAACAAAAATAGATTGTTTTTTGACACAACGTAAAGAGCGTCACAAAATAAACTCTCATCAATAAATTACATTTACAAATGATAATTTCAACATTTATTTTTGTCTCATCTTCAACTTTTCTCGTGGAGTTTCAATCAGTTTAACGAAACATTTTTCACGCAATTATCGCACCGACCGCGGCCGCACGTACCTTTCTTAAACAATCTCTCGCCGTGCAATCTCGCAACGAGAGATCGATCAACGTCACTACGACGAAACACATTAATGAACAAACACGTGCGACGCAACATATCAGCGTAAGACAGCGGCGAGCCGAATTACAGAGGCGAATAATCGAATCGCGGCAGCGGTCGACAATACCGCTGTGGATTTACGTGCGCGTACGTGCGTTTAATGGCGGCAATTTAAGACGGACGATTCGTAGTCCTGGTCGGTCGGCAGTAACACAACAGCCGCGTTGTATCGCGCGTCTGGATTTAATGGTATCTACTTCGGCCCATATTTACTCTCGACTGCTATGCCGCCACCACGATACGTACACTGCAAATCCAAGTGTGTTAATTTAACACACTTGACGTGTGTTTTTATTGAAGTCACTTTTAATACGTTTCTTAGTGTTTAAAATTGGAACACGCTTAATACGTGTTGATTTAACTCACTAAATTAACACGTTTTAAATG